GCCACCATGCCCAGCTAATTTTTTGTAGTTTTAGTAGAGACGGGGTTTCACCGTGTTGACCAGGATGGTCTCGATCTCTTGACCTCATGATCCACCCGCCTTGGCCTCCCAAAGTGCTGGGATTACAGGCTTGAGCCACCGCGCCCGGCCTGAATATATCTTAATACAGCTAAGAAATGACTTAGAATATGAGGATTTATTCAGTAAATGTCAGATTTACTTTGGATTTTGCTTCTGGGATCACAGAACAGTGCCTAACAAATCATTCTTCTATGGTAGTCTCTTAAACAGAGATGTTTTACTTTTTAACTAAAAAAAATTAATTCTATACAAGCTACATATAACTTTAGTGACTATAGGATATGACAATGAGCATCCAGCCACTTCTGAATTTACACATATAGAGCAATAAATTTTAAATGGGATTATTGTAGAAATAGGGTCTTCTCCATGTCTCATGCTATCAAAGAAAGAAGTGTTGATCTAAACCGATCTGGAAGCATTTTGGCACTTGAATTTGATACGCTCTTTGGGTAATAAAGGGATTATGCTGCCCACTCCCTAGTGCCAGAATGAGCAGCTTGGGAGATCTGTTCAGCGACATGCTGTCAACACAAACCCAATTATTCCACACTCTTTAGAGGAAGTACTAGGTTCAGATGATCACAAGGTACTATTGAATTCACATGTACTATTGACTTTAACATGACAAAACAGCACCTAAATACTTTACATAAGCATATCAGAGGTGCTAGATCATCTCAACCAGTACCTGACATGTTGTCAGGCTTTGAAGAGGTTTTTTAAAGTTCTGAAAGTAAGCCAAGGATCTCATTTAGACAAATTATATATTCATTTAATGTAGTTTCATGTCACAGAGTCACTTCAGATTCCTTAGGATTGTGAACTATGTGACTAGAATCAGAACATAACAGATGAGATCACTTTTAGATAAGGTAATTATAACTAAACCCCTCAAAACAGAGATAACAAATACCTCTGTTTTAGGTTGATTTAATGAAATACATATAAGTAGCAATGTGGCCAAAAGGCAGGAAACGAAGGTAAGAAATCAAATGCTAAAGTATTCACTATCTTGAAAGAAAATAATTGGAAATGGCCAAAAGCATCAGTTCAGCAGTTATTTCTCCACATTTCTCATCTTGTAAGTTTTCTGTGATCCTTCAGTTTTGTTAGTGTTCCTCAGATACTGTGTGTGTACTGGAGAAAATATGTTAGTTTCTTTTAAATTAGGAAATTAAATTAGTTTTGCTTTTAAATTAGGAAACCACCAAAATCCCTCCAGATTTTAAAAAACTCTTCACAGTATTATATGTGTTCCTTTGTAATGAGTCCAACCACTGAAATTTTTACAAAATGATCTGTAAGTACCACAGTTTTTGAAATAAAATATATAATCCCTCAATCAATGAACTCTAACGTAGCTTCAAGAAACATTAAATAACATGAGTGGTTCTACTTAGGCAATAAATCTAAATAAGGACAATTAGAAACATGAAGAAAAATAATTTTGAGACTTAGTGTTAACAAATCCCTCAGCAAACATCTCTAGAAAATAAAACCACAGGCCAGGTGAGAGGGCTCATGCCTGTAAGCCCAGCACTTTGGGAGGTTGAGGCAAGCAGATCATGAGGTCAAGAGACCGAAACCATGCTAGTAAACATGGTGAAACCTGTCTCTACTAAAAATACAAAATTTAGCTGGGCACGGCGACACACACCTATAGTCCCAGCTACTTGGGAAGCTGAGGCAGGAGAATCACTTGAACCAGGGACACAGAGGTTGCAGTGAGCCAAGATCGTACCACTGTACTTCAGCCTAGTGACGGAGTGAGACTCCATAAAAAAAAAAACTACGAGTGATATTAGAAATTTAAAATCTTCCTGTCCCATAATTGATTGTAAAGATACTATCCTAGAGGGTGAAATCTATTCATGACTCAGTTTTCTGGAGTAAGCCAAAAGGCCACAGTTACTTTGTTAATATTAAGAAGGACAAAAAATGTCTGTGATCTAGCTGGACAGGCCAACAGATTCACCTTGGGAGGACTGGCTGCTTGGTGTGTGATGTACTATACATGCCTGATTCACACACACAGCTGGCAACAGTGCTCATTTGTGCAGCCTATTTAGAGAGCAATCTGTCAATTTCTACCAAACTTAGGGCTGTAGGTACCTCTTGACCCTGCTAGGACTTTAACATACAGATACTCCTGTAAAGGCGCCAATGGACAGACAGAATTGCCACATCTACACTCACACACTCTGTCACATGTGTAACAGCAAAACAAAGTAAACACAAAACAGCCTAAGTGTCCGTCAGTGCAAGACTGGTTAAATAAATCATGATCTATTCATACAGTGGAATATTATGAAGCTGGTAAAAATAGCGTGGTAAATCTACAAGTGCTGATTTGAAATGTATTCTGAAATATATTTTGTTGAGTAAATCAAAGTGGGAAGCTGTGAGTTCATACTTTTGCAAATAAAAAAAGATATACTGACATGCGTGTATTTGTATAGGCATTATTTTCACCTGGAAAAGACGTAAGAAACTGTTAACATGGTTCCACTGTGGGAAAAGATTTGTGATGAGCGTTTGGAGAGGCTTTTTAAATGTCGTCTCAACATTTTAAAAGAGCCCCTTTCTCCTGCTGGCAGTCTGATGAAATCCAGTGTTGGGTTCTGAGCACCCATCAGCCTCTATCCCTTAGACAAGGCCATCAGGTAGTAGCTTGAGCTGCCTTTTGGTCCCAAGAACTGCATAAGAAGCAGAAGTACCCATCCTAGAGCCTCAGGCTACCCACCCATCTTCAAAAGGTCACCTCCTCCACCGTGTTTCCTGATGCCCCCAACCCCTGAAGAAGGAATTCGCCAGTTCGTCTCCGTTTTACTGGGGATATTTTCTCTGGTTTCTCTGTTTCACTGTTAGACCAGAAGGCTTCTCAATCCCCCACCCCCACAACCAGAGATAGCCATTTGGCTATTTGGTTCTAAACAAAATCTACAAAATGCCCCAAGTGAAACGGCACAGAGTCCAAATTGTCCTGTTCCAGGCAGCTGCCCGATCTTGTGCCAAGTGATACAGATACTTTTGAAGTAGGTTTCCCTGGACGGCAGTTGCCCATCTAGGAGCAAGAATAGATTGGACCAACAAGCAAACAAAATAGATAAAGCAGGCGCTGTGCCGGCGCGTCCTTAGCGGGGTCTCCTCTTGGATCGTGCACACGCCCCAAAGCTTGCACCACCCCGCCACCCCCCGCCACTCCACGCTTCCTCCAAACCAAGGAGGAAACCAAGGGCTGCCCGCAAGGAAACCTCGAGCCGACCCCCACCCGCCCCGAGGTCAGAACCCGTCCCCCCCCCGAGCGCCCAGGGTACCTTCAGCGATTCCTTGCAGTCGTCCGTGTCGTCCGGCACATCCTCATACAGCACGCCCTGGGGCTCCTTCTTTTCTCCAGGGCGCCACATCTTCTTCAGGCTGCGCTTCATTGACACCACCTCGGACGCCACCTGGTGCGGCTGCTCCCCACGCGCGCTGGCACCTGGGGCGAGAGGGCGCCGTCAGACCGCCGGGCGCTGAGGCCGCTCTAGCCCGAGCCGTCCCGCGCGGCAGCCCCCAGGCAGCGAGACACTCCCTCTGGCGGAGCGCTGGGAACTTCTGGAAGGAGGTCTCAGCCCGCGCTCCTTATAGTGCAGCGCGCAGGCGCGGCGCGCAGAGGCGGGGGAAACGCAGACCTCCTTCGCAAAGAGGGCGGCGGCGCCTCTGCCCGGAACTCGCCGCTTCAGGGACGAAGTGACCCGCGCGTCCCGCGGCCCTGCAGGTGCAGCAGCGCACTCCCCGAGTCACGCGCGTCAGGT